TTGAGATACTGAGTCATCTCGGGACAGTAGAAGGTTACTCTACGTCTGCCAGCTTCTTGAGGATGATAAGGGTGTTCATGAAGTAGCCACAGCTCTGTCCCCATTGGTGTAAGAGTACGTACTTTGACATACAAGAGAACCTTGAAGTGATTACCTACTTCTTGTTATCCCACCCTTAACCACCATCAGCTCTGTGACTTTTCTCACACCATAAGAGATTACTGTGTGAGTAAGAGGCTCAGTAATTAACTATGTTTTCATACAATAAGAGAGGGCTACAAAGATGATGAGGGGCCTGGAGTATCTTCCTTCTGAGGAGAAGCTGAGGGACTTGGGTATTTTTAGTCTGGAGAAGAGAAGGCTGAGGGGGGATCTGATCAATTGCTATAAATACTTAAAGGGTGGGTGTCAGGAGGATGGGGCCAGTCTTTTTTCAGTGGTGCCCAGTGACAGGACAAGAGTGAATGGCCACAAACTTGAGTATAAGAAGTTCCATCTAAACATGAGGAGGAACTTCTTTCCTGTGAGGGTGGCAGAGCCCTGGAAGAGGCTGCCCAGGGAGGTGGTGGAGTCTCCTTCTCTGGAGCCATTCAAACCCACCTGGACATGTTCCTGTGGGACCTGCTCTGGGTGGAACTGCTCTGGCAGGGGGTGGGACTGCATGATCTCCAGAGGTCCCTTCCAACCCCATAGCATTCTGTGAAGCAAACAATGTTTTAGTTAGCATGTGGTTATAAATAAAGCAGAGGCTTGTCTTTGGTAACAGGTTTATCCAGAGCTGTGGCAGAGCCCTGGCTGAGGTGGATCTCAGTAAGGCCGTGTGTTAATGGCGCTGCAGAGGGTCCCTCGGCCCGCCTGGCCCCTCTTCCATGGGGCAGGGGCAATACAGCCCGGCTCGGCCCCCCGGCTGGGTTGAGGCTGGAAGCGGCTGTTTTTGTTTCCAGAGAGCTGTTTTGTGCTCATTGTGCCGGCAGCAGCGAGGGCTGGAGGGGCGGCCGCCCTGAGGAGAGGCCGGGGCTGCCCCCGCCGCCATGGCTCCTCCTTCAGGGACGGGAGGGACCCGGTGGCCTCTCCCGGTGTGACCGCTCTGGGAAAGGCTGGTGGAGAAAGGGCAAACTGGCAGGAAAAGGGTGAGAGGAACTGTGCGAGAAGCCATCCTGCAGGGACAGAGGGGTCAGCGGAGGAGGGGGGAGCGTGTGTTGGGTCTTGAGTTCCTGAGGTGAAGTTGGGTGGAAATTTGAACGTGGCTGCCTTTAACTAAAGGTGTTGTGTCCTCTGCTGTGCTCTGCAGAGAGCAGGATGGGGGGCTGGGGGTGTTGAGCCTGGAGAAAAGGAGGCTGAGGGGAGACCTTCTTGCTCTCTCCAACTCCCTGAAAGGAGGGTGTAGCCAGGGGAGGTCGGTCTTTGCTCCCAAGAAACAGGCCATAGGACAAGAGGAAATGGCCTCAAGTTGTACCAGGGGAGGTTCAGATTGGAGATTAGAAAAAGGTTTACCCTGAAAGGGTTATTAAGCCTTGGAATGGGCTGCCCAGGGAAGTGGTTGAGGCACCATCCCTGGAGGGATTTAAAAGACAGGTTGCCGTGGTGCTTAGAGACATGGTTTAGTGATGGTTTTTATCAGAGTTAGGTTGGACTAGATGATCTGAAAGGTCCCTTCCAACCTAGGCAATTCTATGAAGATAGGTCTGAGACCGCCATTGGCAGATGAAACCACTGTGACTATTAGAGTTAACACCAAAATCTGAGATACTCTGGATATTGTGATTCTTTCCTTCCACTTTTTGAAATTTCTTTTCTCTTCTGTGATGCAACGTGTGCTCTAATAGTATGCACAGAGGAGCTGCTGACTTCTTAGCTCACAAGTTATTATGGCTGTGGGTCCCATCTGCATCTTTACCTCACTTTTAATTCTGCTCTCTTGACACGCTGTAGCAAGAAGCAGATGCAGACTCCCCTCCTCTTGGCACCCGAGAGCCATGCAGCCAACCTGTGTGGCTGAGCCCTTCAAATTGACTCCAGTTTCTTCTTGTCCTCATTTCCTGCAAATTCACCTCTCCAAATTCCAATGCTGTTCTTTCTAGTAAGTTAATCCTTCTGGTTTATTGCCCTGTCGCTTTGCATTTGGAAGTTTCTCCACTAACCTTTTTTTCTTTAAAATCTAGATGTCTTGCTGCTACTTTTAAGGCTCTCCACAGTTTATCCTTTCCTTTCTTACCTAATTGTACTACAAGGTTAGCTTTGACCTTCAGATGAGGCACTTCAAAGCTTCCTCAGGTGGTGTCTCATCTGTGGAAACTCCTAGTTAATTTCCAGAAGTTCTCACTGTATCCCCTTTTCAGCTTCTCCAACTTTACATACCTCAGCATGTCTAAAATAACCTGTTTAGCTGATTACACCAAGATATTGACAATTACATTTCCTGTTAAACGAGGACTGCTACCCCATGTTTTGCTACTATCGCTTGTTTTGCTTCTGGGACTTTATAGCAGCACCTGTGCAATTTTCTCCATGTACACAAGGCCTGGTACAATTGTCTGGCTCAATCAGAGAATTTGTTTACAATCCCTTCAAAGTAATAGCTGAGAGACAGCGCCGTTATTGTGCACTGCAGTGTGCTGAGCAGAGGCTGTGTGGAAATGCTGAGTGTCTGAAGTTGTGCTATTAAAGTGAATCTATCAAAATTAGAATGCCCTGCTTGCAGGCTGAGAGCAAAGTATTTGATATCGTCTCTCATACCCAGTCGCTGTGAAAAAGGTGACTTTCAGTTGCCTTGCATACTCCCACACAATCCAGACAACCTTTATTTTCCCTTAGACATTTTAATGAGCATGCTTAATATTTTAGGTTTGAACTCTTTTGCTTAAATTAAATTAAAAAAATTAGGGAAACAGTCGAAGTGTAATCCTGCTCATTTTGACAGCTGGGAAAGCTTCACAAATACAGTAAATTTAAAGCAAGAATTATTAAAATAGTGTAAAATAATGACACTTCAGAAATATTTGCAGTGACTACTGAAACAGGGTTTGTAAGGGTCATAAAAACTGCTATAATCAGATCCTAAAACAGGGTTTGTAAGGGTCATAAAAACTGCTATAATCAGATCCTATTTATGCATATAAAAGGGTCATAAAAACTGCTATAATCAGATCCTATTTATGCACACTGTATCAAATTGTTATTTTTTTAGGTTGAAGATTAGTCTTTAAACTTTTCCTTAGAAAGACATATATTATTTTAGATAATATTTTAGTATTTTTCGAGATAATATTTTCGATATTTCATCAATTCAGATATTCTACTCCACAAATACTTCTAGTATATACTTAAATAGAAATAACGTAAAATCTTGTAGTACAACTTAGAAAACCAGTTGGAGTGCACATAAAGTCCTTTAACAGAATAAGGATTTAATACATATTAATGGTATGGTATATATTTGTGTTTGTCGTTTATGAGGAGTTTCACAGGAACTGAGACAAGTTTGGGCTTTCTTGGGAGCTAAAGAGTAATAGAAAATATAGGTGAAAAGTAAGGAAGGGCTTCAGTGTCCCCATGGTTGGGTCATCCTTACTGCAAAGGAACCACAGATCACTCGTGTACTGGCTATTTATTGTGTGTGTGTAGGGAATGCAGCCTGTGGGAAGGAGTTAGAGAGTCAGGAACATCTCTGTGTGTATAACTCTGATTAGTGTCAAGCGCAATTGGCAGTTTAGCTGGCAGAGTAAGTCAGCGTTGCCTTGAGCATTGCTCAGTCCTTGCCACTCTGAAGTGTTAGATGTGTCCACTTGACTTTGGAGGACTAGTATCTGCAGAGAAAAATTATCCTTGTTTCCCTAAGAGAGAAAACCAAAGTGCTACAGAGGCACTGTTGGCGTGATTGCGGTCTAACTGAAGGATCCAGGCTGCCTGATCTGCTGGATCCACTACTGAAATACGTTTGGCAGATGAAGTTGGGTGGACGTGAAGAGGCAAGTGCCTGAGGTAGTATAAGGGACACTAACGTGGGCATGTCCTACCAGGGAATAAACTAGCTTGATTTGTCTGCCTGACACAAGTTTTGAAAATCTGTGTTGGCATACAAAACTTCATCCCACTGTTTACGGGTTTCCCTCGATTCACAAGTGTTCAGGCAGCTGCCAGGTTATTTATGACAGTTAACTACTTCCAAGTATTTCAGGAATTGCAGTAGGAACGATCACTTAGTCAACAGTCTGGAAGGTGTGAATGCTAGTTGCTATCCACTTCTTTTTTTCTCTTGTTTTCAAGAAGCTAGAGGGTTGTACTCAAAAGTACTGACTCATAGGACCTGGAGGAATGGTCATGTACCACACAGAGCTTTGTGTTGTTATGCCTAAGAGATGGTTATAAGGAAAAGGAAGGTTGCACTTCTGTAGGTGTAACCCTGCCTTGTGTAATTTAAGGCTTAAAACTGAGAGGTGAAGATGCACTGTGGGAACAACAATGCTGTGCTTGTGTACCATTTGTGTCCCTTCTTCCCCATCCCCCCCCCGGAT